TCAACCAGTGAACCATCAAGATCTCATCATTCTTTATTAGATAATGATGATAATGATGATGATGACGATGATGATGATGATAATGATGATGATGATGACGATTTATCAACATCATCACGTTCTCATTATAATAAACCTATTATTAATATTCATATTGGACGTTCACCGATACCATCATCGTCGACAACTGATCTTCCACTTGATACATCTTCTCCTATATCATCACAAACAATTGAATCTTCATCTCCATACGCAATGGTGAGAAAATGAAAACATATAAATCATTATGTTTTGTATTATTTTTTTTAGAGTCCAGCTTTATCGAATATTGCTGATCAATATAATGATGATGATGATGATGACGATGAAGAAGAAAAAGAAGAAGAAGAAAATAACAGTGATTCATATTCAATAATAAAAAAACGTAAATTAGATAATAATGATATTGATCATGAACGAAATAAAGTTTTCAAATCAAATAGTGATCAATCATAATAATGATTGAATTCTTTTCTTTTTTTTTCTTGTCTTGTTTTCGTCTCAACTCAGGTGTCGTTTAAAATTCTATACACACACATATATATATATATATCCTTAAAGAAAAAACAATGTCCGAACAAGCATTAAATTTTGTTTTTTTGTTTTTGTGCACTGTTGTTTTTTTCTTTCTTCTCTTTTGTATATTTACGTATTATCATCGTCTTATTAATGATCTCGGATGTATAAGTTCAGATGATTTATGTATCTATGTATGTGTGTACGTGTACAGATTATTGAAAATATAGAGAGACTTCAGTCGATATTTTATTGTGTGTAGTTATTGTCATCGTTATTATGTCTCTCTCGTTTTTTTCTTTCTTTCTTGCGTTAGGACAAATCTTGTATGAATTTTATATAAATGAAGATCATGTCGTTTATGAAAAATGATTTTTTTTTGAGAGATTTATTACAACAAAGATAAAATCAATCGCGTTCTACCAAAACAAAAAAGCTTGTTGTTTTTTTTGATTAACGATTATATATGACTCTTACAAAATTCGAATTGATTTGAATAAAACTTTATGAAAGAAATGATCAAATGATTCGAAATTTTATGAGACACAATCTAAAAGGAGTACTAAAAAACATATAGGGTAGAAGTTTGGATCTGCTACCCTTCACAGACCGTATATCAATAACGTCTCGTTACAATATATGAATTACTTCTTTATTGTATTTCTAGAGGGTTAAATAAACAGATGATGAAGAATCCCACAGAGATTGCTCTAATAGTTTTTTCCCTTTTTCTTCTCGATCAGGAATGTCGCAAGCGAAGAAATAACCCCGCAATCTGGAAAAATTTTCATTTTTCTCCAGCGTTTTTCTACTTACCAATTTCCAAAAAAAAAAAATTTCACTCTTTTCCCATCCTGGAGACTTCGGGACACCTCAATTCGCCAACTAGATTTACCAGGAAATTAACTTACAGAATTTCGATATGAAATTTCGTACTCGTACAAATCTTTATGACTCTGATAGCAACTTAAATGTCATAGCCAACGTGAATGCGATATTGAATTTAGACTACTATCAAAGTTATAAGATTTTTACTGATGTAAAATTTATTAATTTGATACTTTTACAAACCTAATAAAATGGTCTTATCTTGGCAAAAGAGTTGACTGTGAGCACTTACATAAAAGTAAAAATAGAATTCGAACAGTTGCTGATGCAGTTTTCTGTTGATCAAATTGCATCTTTGATACTAAATTACTTAAACAATTGAAAGTCTTTTAAATAAATGAACTAATGAATTTGGAATATTATCTAATGATGACGAAAGGTTTACTTTTATAGATAACTATTAACGAAAAATATATTCCTAATCCCCCATTGACCTAGTTCAAAGCGAGAGTTCAGGATTGGTCCGGACGAGTTTGAGATTGTTCGCTGACACATGCATACATGAAAATAAACAATCAAATGTATGAATGGCAAAAGAACAAAATATAATTATATTAATCAAAGTTTAATTATAATTATATGAAGCCTATTAAAAAAAAGAAGTATTATTATTTTAACACAGGACATACCTTTATCTAGTTTTACTTTTTATTTGAAAACAAATTCAGAAGGAATATTTTATAAAGGTTTTTCATTTTAAAAAAATGATATTTTTTTTCTCTCATTGAAAAGTATGAAGAAGAGAGACGCTGTTTTCCTCATGAAAAAATAACAAATTTTCTCAAGAATCTGCAACCGGCAAAAACCGGTTAAATCTGAACGATTGAAGAGACCTAACTGATTGGATCGAATCCGACCGCAGTTACAACTTTGGGATACAGATGTGTATATACTTGTGAGTTATAATAAAGATGGTGATGAGATCGCAGAAGCACACAAAAATTTAAATATATACGCTTCCCATTTTTGTGAATTCTAGAGGAATTTCGTATGGCAGAGGCTTAATGTTATCCTGTTGAAATTAAATGACAAAAAGTATATGTACATTAACGTAAATGTAGATTATCTCGATCGCATTATCTTCTAAAAAAATAATTACATTGGTTAGCGCACTGCACTGAATAAAATATTTCACACTAGCGCTTCCTATATGAAATTTTGTTTTTCGAATGCTGACATAGAGAGTCATAATGTGATATCATGGACGATAAAGAGATATTCTCATATATAAAAAGAAATAGTTTATTAATCTTTATTCAAACATGTGTATCGAAAAGGTATAGTTAATGATGAATTCTTTAACTTTTTAAATTAAACGAAAATCACACAACACACACATAATGGGTGACAACAATAATGTTTTATCTATTATTGATAAGGAAGTAAGATAAGAAAGTAATGAATGATAATAAATTTATTTCTACGTTTTAGAATCAACCAGTAAAAGATGAAAAAACAAATATTGAATTGTTAAAAAACGAAAATCGTCAATTAAAGGAAGAAAATTTGCAACTTAAAATACAAATCGATAAATATGAAGACTTAATTAAAACATTAATGTCGAACCAAGAACAACTTGGCTTAAGTTGCGATAATTTGAAAAAGAAAATAATCGAACTTGAAAAGAAATTAGAAGATGGCCAAGACGATTCAAATTCTCCTCCATTATATAAAAAGTGATAAGCCAGCACACATTTTATTATCATAGTAAAAATGACTCTGATTTTTTTTTGTTTATTAATCAACATTAATTGATCAATATCTATTGACTGTGTATTAGTTTAAATTGATAAGTTTCATACATTTGTATATTAGACCAATTAAAAGAAGTTTATCATTATTATTTTTCTGTTAAATTTGTGGATCTAATCTGTGTTATTTCTTCACTTGTTTGCATTGTATGTACTTTGATAATCATCTGCATTAAAAAAAATAAATATGCAACAGGAATAAAAAATTTCTGAAGCTTATGCCCATTATATTATTTTTAGAAAAGCGATGGACAATTACTACCTCATCAGGAACCGTAGAACTATTGAAAAAGTTGATGATCACAGAGAAAAATGATGATTGAATATGAAAGATGGCTCCCAGATAAAGAATGTTCTCTCATTGATGGAAAGCAATAATGAATTTCATAAAACAACATATACCGGGTGTTCCAAAAGTTTTGCAACATTTTGTATTTTGCATATATCTCGGCATAGGTAAATGATAGAACCTTGATTTATTTTTAAAAGATGCGCCTTGAAAAGCTCTAAAAAAAATGTAAGAACAAATCCCTATTGACTTGTTCTGATGATGTCTTCTATACTTAAAATGAATAGGTCAGATGATGGTCCTATGTTCCATGGTATTAAGTATTTGGAAGACTATTTTTGTTTTGCAAATATTTCGCCTTGAGAAAATGACAACGCCTTGACTTTTTTTCAAAAGATGCGCCGTGAAAAACTCTACAAAAACTGTAAGAACAAATCCCTATTGACTTCGTCAAATATTGTCTCCAATACTCAAAATGAACAGGTCACATGACGGTGTTATGTCCCACCGTAATTAGTATAACAACAATATTTGGGAGACTTCTTTTTATTTTGCGAATATCTCGACTTAGGAAAATGATAACGTCTTGATCTTTTTTTCCAAAGATGTGCCGTCGAAAGCTCTACAAAATCTGTATGAGCAAGTTCCTATTGCGAAACAAAAATTCTCGATCACAACATCGAAATCAATTCAAGATCACGATAGTTTTGTTATGCGCACATGTTTAGATCAGTGTATCGCTATCATCTTTTCAGACCGAATCGAAATTTATGTGTAATCCTTTCGATATTTTCAGTTGTG